TTCCAAAGCCCAACAACTTTCGTTTCGTAGAATGCGAACGATCCCGGAAAGTAATTGATTGGTGATTATTATAATGATATCGATGCGTCATGTTCCGGTTCACGTGTCAGCCATGAGATTGAGCGTAGCAGCATCTGCAGTTCTTCATCCGCCGACTTTTACTTGACTGAGCCAATGAAAATCAGTGGTTGTTTGCATCAATTAACTAAAGCACACGATTGCATTGCTAACCCAGAAATGTTGCTTACTCTATCTCCGTTATCGGTGTGTCATCCTTATTCTATCGCTAATGTAAGCCGCGCTTGGGTAGGGTATCACTCTAGATTGATTAACGACTGACTTGGTGCCATGCAGTATTTGTAGTGCACAGGTGAGAGGTAAGATCCATACCCATTGGGTTTATTTACGTCGGCTGTACTTTAGGAGTACCCCACGTGTTGCCCACTACACTTTGTACTCCACGTGACGTATGATTATAGTACGGTGACATTTTGAGACGGTGAGCTACGGCATCTTAGTAGTATTAATCACCCATGGTTCATATAACTATGTAGGCTCCATGGTATTCCTCATCAGACTAAGATTCAGCTCCTTGAAATGGATTTGCAGATGAAATGCCCAACCTTAGCACGACGCTTAGAGAGATGTTGCATCACACGCCATCCATGACGTCATTCGTAGTAAGCGCGTGTGCACGTGTGTCAGTTGAAGCCATTTCGCGGAGTCTTCCAAAACGAATTAAGTTGTTGTTACGGATCTATGCTTTGGTCGCAAATTATTGAGTACATTTCCAGTTCCAGTTCAGTCGTTTTTGAGTCCAGTGGATAAGTGTGAGTCAAATCTTTTAAGCGCTTAGCTGGTTACAGTACTCAAAAACAAGAATTCCTCGTTTGGTGCAAAGTTTGAGATTTAGAGCATAAGGTTCAACGATTTTCCTTCGTGTGGCAACGTTGGACCATATATCCCAAGAAAAATCACCCTGAAAAATCCGTGGAAAGTGAACAATCCCGGCAAGTAACTGACTGGTGATTATCATGATGCTGATACTTCATGTTCTGTTCCACATGTTAGTCATGAGAGAGAGTGTAACTATAATTGCCGTTGATCATCCGCCGTACTGAACATAGCTGAGTTTATGAAAACACAACTAATATCGAAGTTGAAGGCAGAAACACCAACTGTGATGCTACGGTAGTGTCGGAAAGAATCTGCGCACAGCGACCATTGTGTAGGAGCACCGGAGGGCTTCACCTGAGATGTACGATGATGGATCTACAACAAATAACTTATGGTCACAGTAGAGTACACAGCTATATCTGCCAACGGTTGGGTACGTGGATGATCACCATGCTACTTCCTGTAAATTGGCTAAGCAGTGTGAACACTTTCGGAAGCCGAATGTTTGACGGTGGGCAGCGGGACGTGCTTGATGTATTATTGCTGTGGTCGCATTAAAGAAGATATCAGTGAATGTGTGATATCAACACCTGCCAATGCTTAGAGTTAGGCGAGAGACGATGGGACAGATCAGGTCTTAAACGGCAGCGACACGGAGAGACTGAAGTTAATACCCCGTCGCACTTTCACGCTAGGCGACCTCCAGCAGTTGTAAGCATGACTTCACATTTGGGAGACAGCATCTATGATATACAATAACGACAATTCATCACTATTTTACTGCACCACACGTTTTGGTATCATTCAACATGGTAACTGTATCCATGTCATTTGTTTCCCTATCCTCACATCTATTGTTAGCTTAAGAACGTATAACTAAATTTAAGGCTGTCGCTTTGGTTCACGTCTAAAAGTTAAGTAAGTAAAAGTTATCATTGGGTACCAGTTCTTGCATAAGCGGTTCCCTGTTACTTGACGGATGTGACTGTTAGTCTTACATCCATTTCATACTAATGCACGTTATTATGATTGTTCGTTAGGATCAGGTTTTCACATTTAATCTGTGGTACTTCAGACACAAATGAGGAGAAATGCATGTGAGTGTGCGTGACTACCCAGGATTCGCATTACAATTGTACAGTCCCTCAGACGGAAGTGGACGACGCATATGATGTACTATGTCATCTCGATCAGGATACACTCGACCGTCTGTCGGACATGCGTAAGACGATCAAACCTCCTTGAGATATGCACCACTTGGTTGCGCTTGATGTGCATGTTAAAAAAGGTGCCTATCTGTCGAAAAACCACTACCTCGATTACACTAGCTCCAGGAGACAGCTAATCGTTGCTCGGGAGGCGGCTTGCACGGTCTTTGTGGCCGTGCTAAGTTCGAAAAGTGGTTCCATCCAGTGTGGAGCGCACCATGGCATAAGCAATGCTTTGTGTACGTCTGGTATGTATTAAATGGGAATGATGTGAATGTTGAAGGAGTGTGAACCAATTAAGTTGATGAAACGTGGCTTCCATCCATACGCATCCCGGTTTTATTCCGTCGGATTTACACCGGATATGCTTTGTGTGTTGGATCTGTGGGTGGTGTAGTGCAATTCACCCATGGTCCCTCAGTAGGCAAAAGCGACCTGTGGCGATCCTATGGGGGCCACAGTGGCAGGCAGATCCGGTTACGAATGACACTAATCCAATGTTACGCACTGGCAACCACGGCCAGCCGTAGATGGGGGTTGGTGGGTTTGCACCATTTTGACCAAAGGCTGATTGGTTTGAGGCGGGCGATAGCAAACTGTTGAATGCCGGGCGGTGCACCCCCTTGTCAAAGACAATGCGTGTCACTCGTGCTCTACGCCAAACGGGCTGTGAGCTTATAACCCGTAGACGTGTTGGTTGTCACGGCTAGGTTTTATGGGAAGAGGGCTATCGATCTCATACTAACCTTCGAGGATGGTTGTGAGACTGATTAAGTCTGACCCGCAACCATTGACCTGTCTGGTATGAGTGGCTCTGAAGGCAGTTGGAAAGTGCTACTTAGTATAGCTCAGTGGGTCACGGAGATACGCAAACCATCGCACTAAGTAAAGATCTAGTCTCGTCACTATGGGCCGTTAGACAGATAGGGTGATTGATTGCTCATGGAATTAGATGTTGGTGGCAAAGCACGACGAAGCGACTGGTTGGCAAGCATGGCCCTGTCGATGTGAGCAGTTCAAAACAAGCGGTAATTCAGCATAGCACTCGAGAGTTCATACCCAATTGATAGCTTGTGCTCGTTTAAGCCGAGGCAATACTTGACCAATGTCAACGTCCGGGCTGCAGTGTTGTAAATACTGCTCCTGACCGATACCAACACGTGAGCAGGGTGTAATCCATTAAGCGGACTTCAGAAGCTCTACAATTAGTATGACACGTAAACCGGTCGTCCAATTCAAGCAGCTGCTTAATGGCAGCAAGAAATGGTGATACTCACAGTTCAATCCAAAAATCTCAGGCTGCGCGTCACCCCCCTTATTAGTACAATCCAACCTGGCATGGTGACGAGCTAAGAACATCACCAAAGTTTTTTCCTATGCGTAATGTCCCTATGCATGAACCTATCTATGGCGACCATCTGTCCATGGCGAATACTTTTTGTCGGACCCTTGAGTGGCCGCTTGAGACAGGTTTGACTGTAACTGCAAAGCAGCATGGACAGACGGGGTTGTATCGCCAATGCAACAAATTTACCAGTCAATCAGCCAACGTAACACTACCCCAGAAGCAAACGTCACATTTAAGCGAGTGAACCAAAAAGGATTTAGTTTAATTATCATTATGAACTATTGGGGTATTCGAATGTAGACAACATACCCTTCCAGATACAATCGTATTCCGATGGTTGCGTCTGACGACGTCAAGGTACTTGAGAAGCAGAAGAGACCAATGCAGGTATCCTGGAAGCTATGATGGTAAAATGATCCTCGCAAGACGTCTTGTAGAACTCCTAAAGGAATGAAGTTGACGACCACTAGTTCAAGGGTGTCCGCTCATTGTGAGTAATAATGTTGAGCAGTGACATGAGTGTCTTGTTCCCCTTTAGTAGCATCAGTTACAGCAAAGGATTATTAAGTGTCACTGACAGTGACAATGAACCTACCGCGGTAGATTTAATGTAACTAGCAGCTGTCGCTGAACACAGAGCGCTGGGTGAGTAGCGTGTAACAACGAATTAATCGAAAAACGATTGGAGCCCAAACGGTTTCATGTGGTCGCCATTTGAATCCCGTTAGTTGCATGTACGTGAGTAAAAAGCATGAACAGAATGGCAATGCCACCTCACAAACTTCAACTTCTGATATTCTTCTTGAGGTATAAAGGGAAGCTCAGGTTTCAGAATTCTTGGGTGGCCTTTGAAGCAGTTAGACGAGAATTACAGTTGAGGTAACTGGGCAAATTGTGTATCTCACTAAACAAATGCCACACTTAAATGGACTCTATAGAAATAACGGTACTAACAGATCTTCTGACACGACAAGGGTGACGCAATTCGGGTAAACCCAGATGCTCTGATGGGAGTCCCGTTGCAATTGTGGGGGCTACACATACAAAGCACTCGATTTGAGGCGAAGTTGCGAAATATGTTTAAGACAGATATGGCTGATTTGTCGTGAAAAAGCATCATCAGTAGGTCAGTACGCAGTAAAGACGCTTCTCTGCCACGCAAAAAACCAGTTGCGCGGAAGATAAGAATACTGCGAGGGTCGACCGGTCCCCTACGAAGGTTGGAACCAGTGACCACTGGATTACAAGGTAGGCGTGCGACCCGTGCGGCCACGGGCCAGTTCGAAATCGTGAATCCATTATGTGAATGCTAGGTAGAAGCGGTGGAACATGCTGATCAATGTGAGCAGATGGGTAGAAAATCGACGCCTACAACTGCATGTAAAAGGAGTTGGCAAGATTCAACTTGGAGACCACGAGAGAGGAGCAGCCGCTGTGCAGAGCAACAGATAGGAACTCCCAGTAAATAAAGAAATATTTTATTCTCGAATTCATCGAGGCACACCAAGTCAGTGTAAAAACATATAACAATAATTCAGAAGTTAGTTTCATTCTAAAGTACAGTTAGCAGAGGAAAATTCACCATCCTCGTCATCGTCATCAACACTCTCGGACTCCTCGGATGAATCATCTTCTTCATCAACCAAGGCATTTGACATTGCAGTGGGTTCAACTGAATCTGACTCGTGGTATGTTATCGCAAAGTCGTACACACAGGGAGCTGTGACAGATGACCTCCTAGTCTCTGTGGATTGAGTTTCCAAGGGCAAAGGCCGAGCGGAATGGTTGATGTATTTCACAAAACTACCAGTTCCGGGGCCAGTGTAAACCAAAGTGAGGGCGTTGTCCGTAGGAATAACGGTGAGTAACTGCATTAGGAAAGGAGCAGAATTGGTCTCAAGAATGGCACTAAACAAGAATGAAAATAAAATAAACGTGATAAAATGTTGGTGGTCTGAGTGTTCGCTGAGCTCGGCAATTTGGCTACAAATGTTTCGTCACCACTCGAGAGAACATTATCCGTGCGCTTTTACGTAGCGGAGCGGCGCGATAAGAAGCGATGAGCCCGCAAAAACATGCAGAGCTTGAATGCGCAATTCAACGTCGAATAAACAACATCAGGAGCCAGCGTAACTTAATCCTAAATATTAAAATGAACAAGTTTATGAGAAAGTCTGACCACCGCTACAGTGAAGGGTGGATCAAAAACTTATCCAGCCGTCAACTCAGCGCAATGGAGGAGGACATACTAATCAAAGGGTTAAACTTTAACGTCAGGAATGCTTCATATAAAGATTACTTGGATAGTCTGGAAGAGGTTTTGAATACAAACGTACTGTCAGAAGAATCGTGGCAGCAAATTAAACAAACAGTCGTCCCTGTGATAACTCACAACAAGGGCACACACTCTTACAGAGGAAGAACGGGAAGCACTCGGAAGGCTACGGAAAGAAGACACTGTTGTAATCCTACCAGCAGACAAGGGATGCATGGCATTAATAGACCTGATTAGGTTGCAAAAGCTAAACAACTCCTTTCCGAAACGACCATATACCGCCTTATCGATTAGGACCCCAGTACGAAACTGGTTACTCAAATCAACACAGCATTAAAGAAACTAAAAGCAACAAGTAAGATTACCAAGCAGAAGCATGATACAAACATTGCAAGGTTCGATGGAATGCCAAAGGTATAAAGACGGAGCCCCATTGCGTCCAATCGTCTCGTTGCCAGAAACAAGATCGTACAAATTGGCAAAGTGCATGTGAAAGAAATTAAAACATCTAACTATCGGATCTGAACAAAGCATCATCAATGCTGAACAATTCCTCAACAAACTGAGGGGCGTCATGATAGACGTCACAGCACACTGCACGTCGGTCACGGCCTTGCGAAAAAACGATGATGGAATTACTTCGAAATCAACCGAACACAATACGAAACCGCAAGCCCGAGAACGTATGGGAGTTCCTGGATCCCTGTATGACCACTTTTAGTTTGATGAACAAGTATACCAGCAACTGAAAGGACCTCATATGGGATCGCTCATCTCAGGAATTATTGCAGAATCTGTGGTGCAAAAATTGAAGAGTATCACAATACCGTTAATCTTACTGAAATTATGACACGTTTGTCAGCATCTAACGAGACTCCATACGAAATGCCCATGAGCTAATCAACAACCTATCCCAGGATATCAACTTTACCATTAAACTCGAGCAGGACAACTATTTACCATTCTGGTCCACAGAAACACTGACGGAACGCTTCAAACATGTGTATATCGAAATAAGACCCCCACGGACCAAATACAAAACTACCATAACAACCATCCAATGAACCAAAAGAAAAGCTGAGATAAAAGCCTTTTCAGAAAGGCCGAAACATCCTGCAGCACAACAGAATTGAGGAAAAAGGAAGAGAAACATCTATACCGAGTATTGCAAAACAATGGGTATCTAAGAAATTTTATCAGAAGAAACCTAAAGGAAAGTGCGTCTCAACAACAGCGAGAGCACGTAGAGAAACGGGTAGCGCTTCCTTACAACAAGAACGTGTTTGAAGTAACAAAGAGATTGCAACGACCACATGGATTCTTGGTAGCCCAAAGACAAACTGATATTTTGAGAGGATTGCTTTCAAAGCCGAAAGATAAAAATGAACAAGGCAATTGGAGTGATGTCATCCACAAAATAAACTGCAGTGTGACAAACATAATATCGGGCAACACAGACCAAAGAACACAAAATACAGAGACACGACTCGCATTCACTGGTTTCCATGCATGAAGACTAAGAAGGCCACCACTTCAACCTAGAGAACGTGGAAATTCGAGGCAAGCTAGAGAATTTTTGCAAGTATGATACTACAGGCAATGCAATAAACCGACGCGTTGAACTAGATGCTATATATGCAGCTCTGTGGATGAAAGATCCCCTAATTAGTCCACTATATCTAACAGAACAGAAGACCGGACAAATGTGTCAAACGACGTCAACCGAAGAGGCACGAGTGCCTATGTTGCGAGGCGCGAATCAGAGATCGATTTCGATGGTCATGCGCCTGTCAAAAGATCCAAACTCAGACTGACAGCTCGTCCGCCTAGAAGATCGATCACTCACACTCACTGACGCATCGTATCGCGCCACTCCGCTACATAAACGCGTAATGACGATGTCACTTCGTTGCAGCCAAACTGCCGAGCTCAGCGAAAACTCAGACCACCAACTGAACAACCTGAGCTACCAACATCTGCTTCTATATGACAAAATGTGCGTGCCGACATTTGCAAAAAGTGCAATAAACAAGCTGCCAGTCAAAGGCTTGTAGGATGTTTGTTGCGTACCTCGTCGATTTCACCTGCTGCGATGTACACCAACTGCCCACCCCAGGCCGACTGCCATGATGGCGTCCTGGATTCACCAGTTCGCTGACCGTATCCAGCCAAATGTAGCACGCATTCCAACCGCCAACTAGTATCAACCACATCGGAGTCAGCCAACAGCGTGTAACTCCCTAACGTCCAGCGACGGCACTGGGGCTCGCTGATCTTGGCAACATGGTTGTTGTGAACGGAGGTCAGCTCAGACTCGCAGATGTCGCCGTTTTCTAAACGTAAACGCTTTGCATCGGTTGGCTCTGCGTTGTTTTCCTGTGATGGGTAAAGACAGGTTTAAACGTTCGATATTGGAGAGTTTGAATCATGAGCAAAGAAATGCATGTAGTAAAATAGAGTGAACACTTGGTAAGAGGCTATGAAGACCGACATTGTACGCGGGAGAAAGCACGGTGGCGTGGCCTGAAACATTGGGTGACACTCAGAGTATAGAAAAAAACATCACGAGAATGCGATAGCCTACTGAAGCTACGGCAGAAAGAGCAGAGTATTGACCACATCTAATGCTCATAGAGAATTAACGGTGCACAAATTGCGGATAAAGTAAAACAAGTACAACGACAGTCGTTAGCAGTCCATCACCTGAACTGTGGCGACAAAGTGTCATAGCGCCAGAAAGGTGGTGTCAAACACCTAGGTAAAAAACAGTATATGGTACACATGTTTGAATCACAAGTGAGTGCAATTGCAATGGATTTCACCTGAAATGCATCAGGTTTGTCGTGTAGCCTTGAGGCCAGCGTTAAGTGCAGAATCGCAACAAGCTGTTCTCGTGATAAAACAGGTACACCACAGAAACGAAAACATTTCATGAAAACGCGGAAAGCACATAGTTACCATTTTTCCTGGCACCGTTGACAACAGCGAATACGGATGAAGTCGAATGCCTGTAAGGTCACTGAGAATAACAAGCATTGCATCCGAACGGAACAGACGATAAAGATGGTTCAATGTTACTGGTACATCGTCGGACTCCAAATGGTTGAGCTTTTCGAAATTTCTGAGTAAAGAAAAAATTTGTTAAAAAATAAGGAAATTGTCTGAACAGGCGACTATGTTTAACATGGCGGTTAGCGAGGTGGGCCAGATCAACCGGTGGCCAAACCAGTGACCAACCCTATGATATGGAGGATTGGCTAGGGTAAAATGGGTTTGTGGTTATGGTCAGGAGTAAGATCCGCAGTAAAATCATCAATTTGCGTAACATATCAACCTAACAACTTGTTTCCCAGCCTATCTTAATGCCTTGAATTGGAATGGGGTAATTTCGTCCTGCTCAACTTCCATCTAATGCAACCCACAAAATCGAGTCGAAGTTAGCAGCTAGCTTAGGATTCAAGCAGCTGGAAACTATGCGCTAAGCAGAAACCCAAGCGAGCACACCAAAAACTACTTGAGTAGGAAAGTCAGTGCAACACTGGACGTAAACTGCCAACGGTGGGTGGGAGCCACTAAGATGACGTACCCAACGATAAAGCATACATAACATTGAAGCCATGGTTTACAGTATGGTGGTGCAAGCACACACGGTTGCAGGAATTTGGGATAACAAAAAACGGAGCATTAAATGATGATAGCTTGGCGATACAGCAGCTGAGCTAAGTCCCACCCCAAGAAAAATTGTTGGATATTGATAATATGAAACTTGAGAAATAAACGAGTGACAACAGGGAAGAAGACTGAACACAGTGAATGAATCATTGTAATGAATTTGTAGCGGAACAAAAATTATTGTAGTTCTAACCTGCTTGGATAATTGACGAGGAAGAAGTTGGAGGTAAGCAATAGCGGGGATTAGGACACGGGCATATGGGTTTGTGAAATTAATCGCGCGAAAAACAACACAGACACAAGCGGCAAGAAGAAAAATAACGGAAATGCAACTCATTACGATGAGTCCGGACTTTGACATGGTTCGGTGAATTGTGTTCAACCATGATTGTGGGGTCACACTAGACGGCACCTTTAACTTGTCCGAACAGTTCGCCGCAAAAAAAGCAGGCGAACGCAATTTCAGTGTCCTCATCTCGCCAATTTAAGGAAAGGTCGAGGATCTTGTTGTGTCAAAAGCTAGTTAAGAGAGACAACCGTGTTCGGCTCAAATGGTAAGCACCATGGACTATCTCTGACGGTTAAACAATTATACACCGCCATTGGTACGCTACCGCAAGAAAAGCGAGCTCCATTAATACCAGCGTGAATGCTGTGGAAAGTTTATCTCCAGCTACGGCCGTAAGATGTGCATGAAAGGTTTTGAAGCCATCAAGGTTGCGTATTAAGAGAATGTGAACCACCGACGAGCCGAATAGGGCGAAAAGATCGTCTGATGTTTTTTCAGATTGGGGTTAGACCAATCTGGCTTGAGAGAAGCAGGGACGAACCGGTAAAATTTCGGCAAAAATCCCCTACTCATCAGTAATCTAGAGTTGCATGTGACAAGCCCGGACAGATCACCACCGTGTTTTCTGATCAATTTCCATAACTACACAAGCTGCTCACCACAATGTTACGTGCCGCGCTACTGAGGATAATCATACCGAACGAATAATGGGAGATGGCAGCATGTTGGCTGTTCAGCCTCAAGTCCCCACTACGGTTCTTCAACAGTGACAGAAGACATGATATCTTTTTACCACCAGTTACACGTAAGCCAACAACAGGCTGAACATGATTAAAGAGGAAGTTGGACAAAGCTGTCTTTACATAGGTAACGAAAGAGGGATATATCGATCACCGCTAGTAATAAGATAAACGGGTTGGCAGCTTATGGAGAACAGAACAGTGTAAATATGTTGTCCATGGTACTGATAACATGGATCAGTTTCTCAAATAGTGCACCGCAGATGACCCTTACAGAAGCAGCAATATCCCCCATCATAGGAGCCAGCACCGCACTATTTAGCGTCGATGGAACGAAACGATTTCCTGGATCCATACTGACGGTATCCTAGCAAACCTCAGATGCACCACAGAGCAAGACTATAGATGGAGTTAAGCTACCTGTCCAAACTGTGTATATCTCGGCCAAAGTGAAGAAAGCAACTCCGTTAAATCGGGAATACCGTCTACATGCATCATTCGCTGCACCGGTCCACTTAGAGGTCAATCAGAGTTTGAACACTTAATGGCGCTTCGAGCGCAATAGATGAATAGAACAGAGAGCAGAACCACAGTAAGCACGGTGAGAATGTAAATTTTGAAGCAAAATGGTACTAGTTTAAACCTTTGCTTGAGAGAAAAAGATACCAGATAAGAAAATAAAATTAAGCTTACTAATCCGGTGCTAAATAAGCATATACGAAAAACTGTTAAAGGAATAACGAGTCACCATATATGGGGATGAAAATCGATCTAAAAAAACGGATAATAGTCTTTCACAACGCAAGCAGTGCTCAATGGCAGATGAGAAACGTGGGACGGATAACGATCAGCTACAAACGACGAAATCATCAAGACGTAAACTGTAGGGACAGAAGCCTTTGTTTTTACATGAAGCATCTCGGAGGTGAAATGCAAAGCGACGGAGTGTGATGAAGTGAAAACGACTACAGCCCAGGCAAATCAAAATAAGAAAAGAACACCGAAAACCACAACTCACTTGCGATTGAAGGGACCACATCTGAGCCAGGCAGAATCATCCATCTGTTCCAGGTTAGAGCAAACACGACGCCATTCCTCTGCCTTTTGAGAATGGGACAATTGAAATTCGTAAATAAATAAATATGTACATATATATGTATGTGGGTGGGTGTAGTTGGCTGCATTTGCAGCCTCTATAGGACAGCCACTGGACGCCTGCGCCTACAGAGGGATCATGAGTGGCTTACGCTCCATCCACACACCCCATATCCAGTGTAAACCCGAAGGAATAAGACCGAAAGGCATTTGGATAGGAGCCACGCTTCATTGACGGAGCCGGCCCACACTCTTTCAACAAGCACAGCAGCAGAATTCCTGTTTATCTATGTAGGGAATTATGTGTACAAACGTACACAAAACGGTGGCTGGGCTGTAGTCCCCTCCACATTGGATGGATCCAATTTTTGAGCATAGCACAGCTACGAGGACCAGACACCCCACCTTCTAGCAACGATTCAGTCTTCTAGAGCGAGTAATCGAGGTGGAGGGTGTTAAACAGGTTGAAACCTCCTCAAGATTTACACCAAGCGCCACATTGGGGATATCAAACACTCAACACAAATGTAAAAGAAAATAAATACGCAAAATTGACTTGGAATATGTTGCAGAGTGAGTATCGGTAAGGCGCATGAGTTGTCACGTAGTGACAATGTCCTGAGGAAATCCCAGTTCAGGTCAGTGCGGCTTTGGAAAGAGCATAGGTGAAATATGCGCAGTTTGCATCTACACGCAACAGTTATAATGAGGAGAGATCAGCTATTTGTGCAACGCGTTGCTCAATGTCGACAGGAACACTGAGAGAAGCTCTGCGGAGCTGTGAAAGTTCCGCAACAAGACCCATACAATAAATTGGCATTAAATTGGTAATGCGATCCATGCAATCGCATTAGGTAGGCCGGCAACATACTTGGCATGTTCAGTGCAAATACAAGAGCATCTGAGCATTCACAAAAGGAATGTAACTCTGAAACGTACGCCATGGGAATTTCCAGTCAATCCGATACTTTTATTTGCTTTACATGCATTCAAAATAACTCTCACCAACACGTTACAACCGGTGCATCTCAACGTATGGTTGTAAGAGTATCTGATAACTGTGCGACTTTCTTTTCGTCGGTACTGCAATCGAGTTCAGCTGACGTACAGCATTACCTGTGTTATCTTTGTTGGTGGATAAGTGCTGTCGATGCTGTTAAGCGAGGTGATTTCTGATTGACAGCAAATATTGTGACCAACGCTTGGTTCATCAGATAAGTTACGTTCGGTCCTGTCATATGAGCCACAATCATGGTCAAAAGTATGACATCAACCATTTGAACCGTTGCTTCACTGTCGCAGGCAGTTCACAGGCTCCTATCAGCATATCGTTGCTGATACAGCTACTAAGGTAAGTGAAGTGATCAACTACCTCGAGTTCTTCGCTATCAGCGATCAATAGGTCAGCAACAACACCTGTAGGTTGAAGCTGCGAAGTGCATGCCAAATGATAGGACCAGTCTATAATAATTATTCAGGGTTGACTGGGAAGCTCCAATATCGTTAAACAACAGGACAATGTCACCCACATAATCACCGTCAACACGTTTTACACCAACCAGCACCTCAACACATGCATCGTGCGATTCGGTGCGGAAACGCTCTCTGATGAAACCACGGCGAAGTTGAACAATAATGTGGAAATTGAACAACCTCGATGAACACCACTTGTTGTCGGAAAGACATTCGACAAATCAAAGTAGATCATGACGCGGTCTGTGGTGTTCGAGTAGCGCGCACGTAAAACGTCCACGTATTTCATGGGAACAACCTTCCGCACGAGTATCTCGCACAGAATGGATCAATCGACTTAGTCGAACGCACTCGTCAAATCAAGGAACACAGTTAATGTCGATCTGCGATGTGTGTATTGTTGCATTAGCATTTGCCACAGAGTGAATAGGTGGCCTATACGAACCCGTACTGTGTGGAAACTTGCCTACTCTTTCCTAATCGGGGATTCCGGTTACGAAGTAAGTCGACGGACGAGAATGGAGGCCAGTAATTTTGTCATTACTGGCCTTAGGCCAATATCTCTTTGGTAATCACATCCTCCGCGACTGCCCTTTTTGTATACATCCACCACAATCTGTTCATTCAGGTTAGCTGGAGTGGCCCTTTTCCTTCCAGGCCTGTTTGAACCGGTATATCAGTGCTCTTCAGAGGACATCATCACCAATCTTAAAATGTGCGGTTGAAAAGGAATCTGTACCAGTAGTTCGGAAATGACTAAGGACTGT